TGGATTCATTTTTTCGGGGGTGAGCTACATGGGGCTACAACAATCCACCTTGAATGCAAAGAAGATGAAGATGAAGAAGAAGATGATGATGATGATGACGATGACGATGACGATGACGACGACTACGACGACCACGACCATGACCATGACCATCACCATTACCATGAATTTGAAAATGATTATCGGCATTTGCATGGTCATTGGCAATTAACTTTAGCTGTATTTGACATGTTGATGTTGAACACACGTTTGATGATTCTGATGTGGCTGATTGTGCTGAACAAAAGCAGCAAAACATCAAAGTTCATCAAATTTCACATTCCCCCAAAAATGTGGTCCCTTTTAGAGCGGGGTTGGGCAGTCCTGGCTGAGATCTAGGAGCTCCAGCCCCTGAGGTGCAGGTCTATTTTTGTAGTTTTTTGAGTAAATTTGAAGGTTGGGTCCTAGATTTTATCGGCAACCTTGCTAGATTTTATCTGGACCCTATGTGTGACATAAATTCCAAGGGCTCTGACCCCCCCTAGGTCCCCTCAAGGGCATTTGCTTGCAATGAGGACCCAAGGGGGGGTCAGACCCTTGGATTTTATCTTACCCCAACTTGAGGTCAGGCCCCTTGATGTTATCTTTCGAAGGTTGGGCCTTTGAATTTTATTTTTGTCCTACTTGAGGCTTAGTACCTATCTTATTTTCAGATGTCAGCCCCTTGCATTTAGGTCCAACCTACACCTTTGATTGAAAAGGAAGAACAAACAACCTTGATTGATGAAATCCCCTGCAAAACTGGCATCAAACTGTTGAGAACCTTTCAAAGTGGCCAGCTTCTCTGAGGCATGCAGAAGAAAAAAACGATGGCTAAAATCCAGGAGGTCCATGGTTTCATAAGATTCACAGATCAAAAATGTATGTCCAAATATTCACAACATGCCAACATGCCCAAAATATTTTAAGGGGCCTGACCTTTGATCATTTTGGAAGGTCCAAAATGCTCCAAAGTATTGGCCCCCCCTGTCCAAGTTGAGTGTTAGCAAAAATGTTCGGTTTACGAATGCTAGACTTGTGCCCCTTAGATTTTATCCATTCAGAAGTGCCCAAAAGGGGTATGGGGGGGGTCAGTACAGCCACTGGGGTCTACTATTTCAGGGGCTGGACCCCCCCCGGCCACCCAACGGGTGAGTTTTAGCAAGCCCGGGAAAAGATAGAAACACAAATTTAGGGTTTAGATTCGGATGTTATTGTTTATCTTCTTGGTGGATATCAAACCAAAGTGCCCTGTGACATATTTATAACCAGTTTACCTCATATTTTTCACCCATTCCAAATCCATGCGCGACATGTTTATTTCTATTCTCGCTCAGTAAAAGATGGATAAATCATGTCTACCATCATTGGTAATAATCATTTCTCCGGCAATTTCCATGAGATTGAATACACCATGCAAAATCTCAAGAAGTATCCATGGGTGCTTACTTCGTATTTACTTAGACAGTATACTACATATTTACCCATGTATTGCATCATGAAACTGACATGTTTTTTCCGTGGATAGAACCCATCGTCTATGATCCATGATTTGCCCATGTCTTGTCCCATTATCCACTAATGATCCAATGGAACCCATGATGTTGTTTTTATCCACCATTTATCCATGATTTTCCCATGGTCGTTCCCCTGATCTTCCGCGCCGCGGAATCGCGAGGTGGATGTGCTTTGGATGCTGCTGTAAGGTCAACCTCTTGGAGGCTGTGGTCCAGGTGTGTCGCCACTCGAATTTCGGGGAACCATAAGAGATCTGGGGCCCCCGTTCGATAGCGTTCAGTTGGTGAACATAACTCCAATAATTATGGTTTATGGTAGATATAGCTATAGTTAATGGGGTTTATAAACCAACTAACATCACTGGGGGGCACCACATTGTAAGAGATCTAAAGACCGAAAAGTGATGAGATTAACCACAAGATGATGGTAATTTGATGGGATTACCATGGAAATTTGCTACGTAGACCTTTCCAATCCTTTCCATGGAGATCTATAGACCTAACCACAAGATGATGATTTCATAGGATTTATCCACATTGGATTGTTTTGCTTAATGGAACTTCACCATGTATATCTATGATATATCGGGAGCTATAAGGTTTCAACTATCAAACATATCAGAAACCACGAGTTCGGAGTACTTCCCGAGTTTTAGAAACATCAACTGACCCATTATCAAGCTCATTTCGTGCGAAAGGGTGGCCATTTCGTGGCGCCTCGTTGGCACCGCTCGCGGCCTAAAGAGAGAAGAGAAAAAGAAGGAGAGAGACCGTGACAGAGGGCAAGGAGAGAGAAAGAGAGAGAGAGAGAAGGAGAGAGAGAGAGTGAAGATGTGAAGATGTGAAGATGAGAAGATGAGAAGATGTGATGAAGATGAGAAGATGTGAAGATGAGAAGAGAGAGAGAGAGAAGGAGAGAGAGTGAAGATGAGAAGATGTGAAGATGAGAACATGAGAAAATGTGATGAAGGTGTGATGAAGGTGTGATGAAGGTGCGATGAAGATGTGAAGATGACAAGATGTGAAGATGTGATGAAGATGTGATGATGATGTGATGATGATGTGATGAAGATGTGAACATATGGAGATGTATAGCAGGCGGCCCCCACTATTAGAAGAACCCCTTGCTCAGACGCTATCGGGAATATGACCATCCATTTCGGAAATTCATTAGATATCTTTGTTGAATGATATTGAGATAAATGTTGACATTCTATTTTTGGAAAAATTGGGATATCATTATCTAGAGGCCTTGTAAATATATGTATATAAATGGTAGCTACATGTAGCTACTGTACCTCCAATTCAGCTCCCTGAAATAGCAATCGGTCCCATCATGTCCCTATACCTTGAAATCGTCGTTTAAGTGGTTAATAATTCAATATGATGATATACGGTAAAATGAACAGCCCCTCAAAATAGCATAACATAAACCAGTTTGAGTAGACATACTCATTGTTCCCCGAAAAATGCCAGGGTCTATGCTCATTTACCGAAAAAATATGCTACACTAATCTTCGATTTTCTATCTCCCCCTAGGGTCTAGATATGGCAACTGGAGCCCTAGTTTTTTGGAGATATCTTTGGATCAGGTCTCGATGGTTTCCAGGCGTGAGCCCCTCATCCTCGAGTTGGGCTGTGGTATTGGCGCAGTCACTTGGCCGAAGGACGGAGGGATCCGAGACTTTTTTCCGAGGATTTCAAGCTGCAAAAGACGGGGAACACGTGGGAAAAATCGGGAGAACATGGAAATCCATGGTTTGGAATATGGGATAATGATATAACCTGGTTGGTGGTTTGGAACATGATTTTTTTTTTTTCCATATATTAGGAATAATGAACCCAACTGACGAACTCATATGTTTCAAGATGGTTGAAACCACCAAGCAGTAACGATGGGATAATATATGGGATTATATATGTTATTATCCTCATGCTGGAAATCCATGTTTTTTTAGGAGGAAAACATCAAGAAAAACGGTGATTTCTATAGCAAAACTAGGGTCCAGACCTGATTTGTGATGCCATATGGTGCTATCCCAAAAAACAGGATCCATGATGAATGGAATCTGGAAGATGTGCATGTTTTTTTTCTAAACAGCACAAAGCAAGAGAAACTGAACACAGGATCCTGGATGGCATTCCTCTTTCCAAACAAACTCTTTGAACAATAAGCCAGGGTGGATCCTTGATTAGCGGTTTCAAAAACATATTTTCTGGACTTCACATGTGATATCTTGTGATATGCTGAATACAATTTAACATTGGGATAGGTGAACCAACAACCTGTGGTACTCGTCCATGGTTCTCTTTACTGTATCTGCGAGTAAATGCAATGTTTCCCCTTCAACCACCGCGTGATCCACATCATCGTTGGCTCTAAAGTTTTGGTTACCATTGTGTTGTTGGTTCCCCTCATTGTTGGTCACAAATCATCTCGAACTCAATGAATCTTGGACTCTTGGGCTAGTCCAGTATACAGTATACTTGGATGTGCATACCTGGAAGCGTGACCAAAAAAAACAACCCACAACTTGGTTCATATACTCTCCCCAAAAATAACATAGACCCTGAGGATAGCACACCGGAAGCCTCAGGGCTCGCTGCGTGCCGCACGTGCTTTAGCGGCTCTACATGGCGGCCGAGCCTGGGGATCTCAGCGGAGGGGTGAAGGAGGGTTGCTGTTGGTGTTTGTTGATTTCTACCCTCTGGTAAACTAACATAGCTATTGAAAATTGCCATTTATAGTGGATTTTCCCATGAAAAATTGTGATTTTCCATAGTTATGTTAGTTTACCAGAGGGTATCCAAAATGGAACATATTTTGCATGTGCAATTGCTTGTCGATCTTTCACCTTAAAAGTTTTGTAGAGTTCAAAAGCAATTTGGATGTGCTTTTGATTTTTGCAGCTAGTGTTGAAAAATGAGGATACAAGCGGCAGGTGACACCAGTTCTTGTACCCTCCTCAATTTGGAAAAGCCAAATTCTTGCACCAGCTGGCAATGTAAAATTGTATGATGAATTCAACAGGCCAACATGTCATTGCTTTCCTAAAGTGGACGTACCCCAAATCATCCCAAAATACAGCATTTTAGTATTGAAACAACCATGGTAACTTGACTTGGGTATCCCCATTCTCAGAAACCCCCTATGTCACTGGTATTGTTGTAGCAGAACTATTCTTTGCGCTGTTCTTAGCAATGTTACCGACTCGTTTTGTCATCCTGGTTGCTTCTGCACCCGTTTTTATCTTAATTGAATCTGAGTGCGATTTGGAAACCTGTAACGCTGCTGTTTGCAAAGTGCTTGGCTGAGGAAAGAAACGCATTTCAGATCGGAGCAGCTCACAAGGAAAACAAAGCAAAACACTAAAACAAAAGGGGTACAAACTCAAGAGAAAATATTTCGAGAATTTACCCATCTATCGATACATGAATGTCCCTCTGCACGTGGCATCCACAGAACTGGTGTCGCAGCTGCTGCGGAGCGAAGAACCATGGCCACAGCGTCGGTGGATGAAGTGACCAAGAAAGTGGAGTCGTTGACCACTGAAGTGACTCGTCATAGATTTGTTGGTCGGTGAAAAGGGTGTTAAACAGGTGCATCCCAATAAATAGTAATAAATACATATGAATACATATGAATACATATTGAAACATGTTGGATATTCCATATATAGATAGGATTGGGTGACGATATGTCCAGTTTGGAAGTCGCTAAGAACCTATATACCCTGGGGTAAACTAGCGTCGATATGGAAACCCCACCATTGGTAGATCATTATCCTATGGAAACAATGTTTTTTTTCCACATCTATGTTAGGGTATAATTGCTAATCTATAAGTGGTAAGGGTCCATTTTTTAAAGTGGATGGCTTGTACTGCGTGCAAAACTCCACGCTCAGTAACTGAGATGCACGCAGGAACAAAAGCGCAAATTGGTGTTTTTTTTTTTAAATTTTTCTAATACGATTTACAACTGGTTCAATCATTCCGTCATGAGGAATTTGAACCAATTCTGGCGAAAAGGCCTAAATCGCTTGAAGGTTAACGCAGATTATTTTCCTGAAACCGGTTGATCTGTGGCTTGCAAAGTAGCCCCGGCTAGATAGCTATGCGGGTTGATAACTTTGTAAGTAGGTTCACTTTGCTTTATGGTAGATATATGTAGATATATATGTTTATAGTTTGATGGGATTGCAAGCCAAAACTTTTATCATCCGGTAAACTAACGTAGATGTGGAAAATCCACGAATAGCCTCACATATTGTATAGATCGTGTTCTTCATAAACCATGGATTGTCCACATGTGTTATATGTGTCCCTTTCGGGTTTTCAGCCGAATCTGCTGGATCCAGGCCTCCAAAGGATGGGAACCGATGGCCTTTCCGGAAGATCGCATCGAGCATATTAGGCCACCCTCGAAATCGTGGGTGTCGCCAGTTTTCAAAATTGCTGTGTTTCCCTTAAAAAGACATGAGTTGTCCCTTCAGTACAGCCCAAAATAATTCCAAATAGGTGTTGTTCCTCGGTTTTCACCTAAATTGTCCTTGAAACCAATCGACTCTTGGCCACGAGTTGTTGCTTCGAAGAGGGACATATGCCTGCTGGCACTTTAACAAGGCAATGGAAAATACCAACGGTGAATGGGAAATAAGAGAAAATCATCTACAAAAGGAAGTTTTCCAACGCGAGGTTAAATTATTTGAAAGTACCTTAAAAAATGAGACATTCAACCAATAAGAATTGGTTAGAAAAAGACGCTGTTGCATTTGTTTGATTGCCAGAGAGTATATGCATCTCCATGTGTCTGATTTCAGAACTCTGCATTTTTGCTAAAATGCCTACACAACTGTCTGTATTTTCTGGTCATGCCCCGAGTCATGTTGTTGTTGACATCTCCATTTCCAGAGCTTTTTTTTTTTCGCGGGGTAAAATTGACAGGAACCCCAAAGAAATGGGTATGGGTCAAAATTAGGCACCCCAATAATTGGATGGTTAATACTAAACTAGACATTCACATCTGTGGTCCCCTAGGTCTTCCATTTTGACCCACATCCAAATTGCTTCCAGAGCACGGTTTCCTGCGCCAACAAAACCAATCCCAAGATATCCCAAGCATGTTGTTCAATGTTTTGTTGATCATTGATTGATCATATATATATATAGCCCATAACGGATCCATGGTGCTGGTATTAGTGCTAACATGACTGGGGTATATTGATGGGATCCATGTTAGCATATATAGCATACATGGATGGGTATAGATATTAGTTGGTTTGTGTGTGTGCCTTCCGCTGGTAAAACCGCATGTAAATCTCCACTTTTTCGCGTCAGGAAGTGCTTTGATGAGCATCCGCAAGCCAAAAGCAGCACGGACGGTCGCGGGGTCTCAGCTGGGCTGAGCACTGACTGATCCTAAAGGAGAGACATGTTCAAAACGCCAAGTATCACACCACCCCAAAAAAATGGAAAGATAAAATCCAATTGAAATAGCTGGGATTTAGTGGAATTACCTATTTTTCCCCATAAGGTAGTATATTTGAAACTATTGAGAGGCAATCCCAACTTGTTTCTATCCCAACTAAGTTGGTTCAAGTCGGTCTGGCTGGCACCATGTAAGGGTGTCCCTGGAAATTTAAAGTCTATCCCTGGTGGATTGAAATATATGGTTTGTTCATTTCCGTCCTAACTCAAACCCAGATGATGATCCCGCATGAGTTTTGCCTGTTCTTTTTAGAAGTGGCTTAGCACCAGAAATCATATCGACTGAGGTCCTAAAACCTTGGAACTCAAGCTATTGCACCAGATTCTCTTCACCCAGGTGCGATGTTTCAGCAGCGACCCTTGAATGTTTGAGACATATTGCCACGGGGGTTAGGAGCTCTGAAGACTCTGTAGATCTCTTCCTATGTTCCTCATAGCCAAATAAATTGATCCGCAGTTCAGCTTCGATGAACCTCATGGGTGATGTGATTCTTCAAGCCATCCCCTTTTTTTGGCGAAAAAAATAGCTGGTTGGTGTTTTCAAAGACGGTATCTAATCGGTTCGATTCCGGTCTGTTTGCGATGACAATTCCCACTGATCGACTCCCATTGCGCAGGAAGAACGGATGGAGTACAGTCTGAAGGATTTCGAATCTGATGCCGCAGCCGTTCTAAAAGACGCCAACGACCTAAGTTGGGCGGATGTGGAGAAATTCATGGCGGAGAATCTCTAGTGACAATAGTGACACGGAACGGGGGGATGAAAGTTGAATCTCTATGGTAGTAAACGAATAGGAACCACCATCCCCAACTGTAGAATCTTTTTGGGTCGTTTTAAAACCATCAAAATTCTTATTGCTATTTTAGATGACATGAAAGTTTTCTATGCCCCCGGCGCGGATATGGCGCTTATGGCGACTGGTCATGGTGAATCTGGCAGTTCCTCATCCACGAATCCACAAGATTTTCGATGAAAATTGGATGTGACTGCCCCGCTATCGAGGATGTTAGTGGATAAATGATTCTAAACGATGGCAATACCCCAAATTATATCAAATTATTGTAGCTTCCCATTTAATTAAACCTGAAGGGTGTTTGGGTTGTTGCAGGTGGTGAACTTGTTTCATTCTCAACGTTTTGACATGCCGACATGTTCGCCGAGATCAGCTGGCCTATTCCAAAAAAGGCAGCCTGGGCTGTCCGTAGAAGTTGGCAGAGGTTCCCGCACACGGACAGTTAGTGGCGCGGCAGCTCTGTTCGCATCCAGATCTAAGCTGAAACTGATGAAGAGACTTGGTTCAAGTGAAAGCCTGTAAAACAAAACAAAATCTGGATTTCAGAGATCAGTGAAATTACCATTTAAGGAGATGTATCTTCATGTGTTGTATACATTTGATTACATTTGTATATAGTCGTCATTTAGTCAGGGTTTTCCCTTGTAGTAAGGTAAGGTATCAAAATGTATCAGATACATTCATTATTCGCATATCTTTTTGGGAAGCAGATTTGGCTTGTCAGCAGTGCTTGGCGAGGCGAAATGGCGAGTAACACGTATATCTCTTGTTCGAATATCTGTTGCATGGTTGTGTGGTTGATTCTGCTAGACTTGTTTTGCAAGAACACGAGATATGTAGTGTACTGCAACCAAATCCTCCAAAACATCTACTCTTAAGATTTCAGAGCCCAAAAAATAGCTCGCGATTTCTTCTATCTTCTTTTGGCATGAAAGTCACCAAAATCTCCAGGGTCAGATTTGTTCGGGTCAGATTTGGATCGCTTTAACAAAAACCGTGTAGCTCAGTAGCTCGGTCATCGTAGCTGCCCAGCTCTGGCCCGGCCCAGCGGACAGGGATGGAAGGTGTGGCCGTCCACCTGAAAATCCCAAGTCGGACAGCTGCGGAGAAAAGAGCCAGGAGAACTTGAAACCTGAGACAGACATCCTGGTTGGTGGTTTGGAACATTTCTTTTTCCATATATTGGGTATAATAATCCCAACTGACGAACTCATATTTTTCAGAGGGGTAGGTCAACCACCAACCAGCATCCAACTAGTTTGGGAAGGGTGGGAAGGGTGGGAAGGGTAGGAAGAATCTGCTGAAACCTGGTCCACCCATATCATGGCTGATCAAGCCCCGTGTTGATCATGGAGAATCATAGTGATGAATTCTACAGAGAGTCATGGAGAAACAGAGAATTGTTTGGGCAGTTTATATCATTATTGTCATTGTTTATTGGTATGATTGTGCTTCATTACCAATGTCATTCATGCATTGTGCTATCATGAGCTAGTTACTCCCATTTATGACGCTTTCTTGTACGTTGAACCTTCGAACACATATGAAATGACACATCAAAATACGTATAAAAAGTATTGAGACTTTGGTCAACTCGTTTGGATAGTCCATAAGTTCAACCATAAAGTACATAAATCCAAATAAAATCCAAATATCCAAAATGTCAACCCCCCAAAAAAAATGGACTATCCTGGTTGATTTCTACATAGTCCATAAGTTCACATATCAACCCCCCCCCCAAAAAAAAATCCAAATATCGCCGAGGTGATCTCCTGTGAAGCCGATCCCGTGCCGATCCCGGTTTAGGGTGTTTGGAAGGGGGGATTCACTGGGAGGTGCACGGCACGGTGGTGGTGAAAAAAAAAACATGTGGGGAAAATATTCTTTGAACATTTGAACTTTTTTGTGTGGCCAAATTAGGCGAAACAAGCAACAGAAGGATTGAAGGATTTCACCTTAAATTTCACCAATGAAAAATGGATATGGGTGAGGGTTCGCTATGTGACGTTGAGGTATCCTATTTTCAGATCAACACATTTGTAGTCTACCAAAAACATGGACGAAATCAAGAAGAATAAGTGGCCGAATTTTGGTGAAGGTGGGGCGAACGTACGGTGACTTTCAGTGCTGGAGGAAGCTAAGGTCTTGCGCATGCGCAAGTAGGTGAGAAAGAAACCAATCATGAGCGCATACTAATTCCATTTCTTATGCATGAACCACCAAGTACGCGAGCAAAAAACATGCTCTGCCAACAGGTGATCTAATATGAAGATTGGGTGACTTCTACCAATCAGTGGTGATTTTTTGACACGACAATATTGATTTCGGGAGCTACAACGGGTTATTTGAATGATATTTTGGATGAGGTTGCAAGCGCAATTCAACTGGAGATTGCAATCAAGTACCATACCTGGCATACCAAAATGCATGCAGAATGTGTCATCTTCAGTCTTAAACAACAATTTCTTGGAAAGTCAACTACTTGTGAGCTCTTGCGTGGTAATGTATTTTATGATTTGGATTGGGTTCAAAGGATATTTATGATCTCCATTATACAGCTAGCATATGTTGTTCTCTCGTTATTTTTCGTATCGTTTCCATTCAAGATGAATCCCATGTTAGTCCCATGTTCTATCTAATTTGGATGGAACAACATGGATAGAGAGAGATGATATTACAATAAAATTTAATAAAGATTAAGAGAAGCAATCATGATTCAGTTTCCAGATCCTCATCTTTCAGTTGCCAGTCAGATACCAACTACCCTCTGGTAAACGTTTACAGTTTGCGAACTTGAAAATGGCCATCTATAGTTGATTTACCCATAAAAAACTGGTGATTTTCCATAGTTATGCTAGTTTACCAGAGGGTAACCAACATCAACCAAAGCCAACTTCATAAGGTCCGAGCTGCAGCTGCGTTATGCTTGAGCTTCGCGGCCGCAGGCTGGGGAACAGCTGGGGTTTTCGGTCTGAACATGTCTTGGGCATTTCAATTTCAATGGGAAAATCATCATCTGAGCAGTGTCCAAAGCCCTGGTTGGTTGATGATTCGTTTGGGGATTATACTACCCTTTGGTAAACTAACATAACTATGGAAAATAACCATTTTTAATGGGAAAACTCACTATAAATGGCCATTTTCAATAGCTATGTTAAAGTACCAGAGGGTACCTTAAATAAACTTCTTTACTGGGGATTTTGACAGAGGATTTTGAACACTCTTCATGTATAAATGGGGGGGAGTTTCCCTTGCCATGTTTGATTACGAAAGGGTAACCAGAAACAAAAAAACAATGGGAACATGGTGCGACATGATTATTTCCAACTGTTTGAATAGTACGGTGTTGCTGGTCTCATATATTTTGTGTGTTCCATTGGGGGATGTTAATCTAACCAGTTATGAAATATTTCGACTTATCAATCAACAATTCAATTCCTCATTCATATATTAAACTCTCAATATGTGGTTTTTATTTCTAGTAAACCGTGCTTTTATAGGTGGTGCCCAATATTAGGGGAAGGGATTGCTGTACTTTGAGTCATTATCCATTATAGGGTCTATATTGTGTATGCTCATATCAATTTATGAAGCGTGAAACTTATGTAACAGCTTGATTTGCTTTGGACTTTGGGACCCAAGAGCCGTCTGCAAATATCATACAACTAATCCCCCACAATCAGAGAGGATAGGACCAAAAACGAATAGTGAAAACATGAGAACTTTCTAGTGTTTTTTCTGTGGCTTGTATTTTACATTCAGATTGAATTTAACAAGACTACATGAGATTTAAATTTGCAATAATCCTTAGAATCAAAATCTGTCCACGGATTATAGCAACCCCCAAGAAGGTCGTAAAGTAACCAATCATTACATATTTTGGCAAGATTTTGCTTGTTAATCCGTTTTTTCGGGGCCCTATATGTTTTAAAAGCCATTAAGTTTGCTCCAGCTACAGGCCTCTGTCAGTCCGTTCGGATGGACGTCCGTGTGGGTCCGGAAGCCGAAGGAAGACTGGGGAAAATCCATGGGAAAACAAACTGCTGCTATATAAGGAAAACCATAGGAAAACCATAGGAAAAGCATAGGAAAAGCATAGGGAAATGGTGATTCAACCAGGAAACATGGTGATTTAGCCAGCCCCGAAATAAAAGTTATAAGTCAGTCAGCCCAGTGATGGAATGATAACCCCCGTTTGCAACCATAAAAATCACTGGTAAAGGGCTTTAACTGAGGGAAATTGGGTTGCTTTTCATGTTGGACAAGATGTTTGCTATTTATGCGAATCGCTTTAAATTTTGTCTCAAAATCTTGGATACCCAAAATACAGCAACAAGTCGTTTTTGTCGGAAAATGATTCTCAACAGAATGTTGAGTAGCCGAAAAGAGTTCTTTTCGTTCGGGGATTTTCCCAGCAAAACCTCCATTCTTAGTGGATTTTCCAGAGGCGTTTGACGGAGAAACTCCTGGCCGCTGTAGGTCGTTCGGAGCAACTGCTTCCGCAATTGAGGTCGCAACTGCTTGGGGATTGTTTAGACAGGAACGTATACGTTATATGGAGCACAAACCAGTTTTACGCTTATGCACTTGTTGAATTTTGTATAGATGTATTTTGTACTAATATTGTTCTGTTTTTTAACACAAGTTTGTAGTACTATATTAACAGGCAGAGTTATTGTACCATATCATGTCTATCTATTGATCGATCGATCTATCTATCTAATTATTTATCTATCTATCTGTCTATCTATCTATCTACCTAGCTATCTATCTATCTATCTAACTATCTATCTATCTATCTATCTATCTATCTATCTATCTATCTATCTAATCTATCTAATCTATCTAATCTATCTATCTATCTATCTATCTATCTATCTATCTATCTATCTCTCTCTATCTATCTATCTATCTATCTATCTATCTCTCTATCTATCTCTCTATCTATCTATCTATCTATTTATCTATCTATCTCTCTCTCTCTCTATCTATCTAGCTAGCTAGCGAGCTAGCTATCTATCTAGCTATCTATCTATCTATCTTTTGATCTATCTATCTTTTGATCTATCTATCTATCTATTTATCTATCTATCTCTCTCTCTATCTATCTAGCTAGCTAGCGAGCTAGCTATCTATCTAGCTATCTATCTATCTATCTATCTTTTGATCTATCTATCTTTTGATCTATCTATCTATCTATCTATCTAATCTAATCTAATCTAATCTAATCTAATCTATTAATCTAATCTATCTATCTATCTATCTAGCTATCTAGCTATCTATCTATCTATCTATCTATCTATCTATATATTTTGAATATATATTTTGAATATATATATATATATATTATACTATATATATATAAATTATATAAGTAATTATCTTACGTAGATAATTATACTATATATTGTTATGTATATATATATATATGTTTGTTTTTTGCGTTTCATGATGGGCTTCATGGAAGAGTTTCATGGCAAGAGCAAAGCATTTGGTGCTTCATAATCGGTCAGACTGCCATATATTTGCATCTGGATTTCGCATGAGACGATTATATATATATACATACACCCTCTGGTTATTTAACATAACCATGGAAAATGGCCCATTTATAGTGAGTTTTCCCATTAAAAAAGGTGATTTTCCATGGCTATCTTAAATAACCAGAGGGTATATGAAAGATTGATGTCAACCCTGCATCAAGGTAGTGCGGTGCCATTTCACTTGCAGATCATCACTGTTTGGGTTCCCTAATTGATCGACCAGGGATCGGGGTTCATAGATGTCCGGGGTTGACACTACCGGGTCGTGAGCTATTGTTATACTATCCACCTTGATGGTTCCTTAGCATCGACCCCAAGCTATATTGTGGACATGCGAGATGATTCTACCAGAAAAAGACACTCTTTTGGGTAGAATCGGGTCGAACCATTAGTGCTGGAAAGCCGCAACAATAGTTCATAAACAGTTCTATCATCTTTATCTCTATCTCTCTCAGTTTCATATCTGGGAAAAATTATAACGACCTCACTGTTCTCCCTCACTGAAATCATGGTTAATAAGGGGAATCATCTCAAAATGGTTTCTTTCAGGTTAGTGAATTATTATGAATTACTGAATTATTACAATTTGCCCAAATATATCAAATGCGCCCTGCGCATGTCGAACCAGGACGGAGTTGGGTGCCAAGTCCGGCAGCTTAGGCATCGGTTCCGGGTGAGGAAGATCCGCTTGGCGATGTCAGTGGATTGAGACTAGCACCGGTTGTGGCCTATCTATAGTTATAAAGTTTATGAAAAAACAGTTACTATCGTTATAAAGTAGTACTTAGTTATAAACAGTTTCTATAGTCATAACGTAATTGTATGCAGTTATACTACATTACTATTTGACTGCAGTTACATGCAGTTACAAGCAGTTACTCGTGTGTAATCATAACATGACTAACTATTTGGTTTATAAACCCGTCTAAAACAGTCTACAACTATAGTTTTAATTTACCATACCGTGTTTAATCTAGTTATAAATGAACTTTACTAACTATTGGCACAACCTTGTAAGGAGACTTGGTCACCAACTTGTGTAATCACTTAGAATGGTTTGTACAGATGGGTACACAGTGGTGGCAATATCTTGCAAGTTTGTATTTCTTCACATTGGACAGATACAATATGATACAATTATATGTTTAAGTATACATTAATGTGGTTAAACCAATAATAAACCATCCCCCAGTCATCACCATAAATAGGAGCTATAAACCATTCCCAGTCATGGGTGGTTTTTGACATTGTTTTAACCACATTATACATGTTCAAACATAGTTGTATTCCAATGGATCCCACAAACATCGACATTCAAAGTGCCTTTCCTCTCCGGGGCCTCCGGGGCTCGCATTTTTTGAGGTCTGTCGACATGCTGATCCTGGGAGGTCTCCAAGGCGGCGCTAGATTTTCTGGGAACATCATCACAAAACAACGGTGGTGCTTTTTCACTCGTCAAGGTGACGATTTAATTAGGGAAAATGGTAGGTTCATTAGGGAAAATGGTCATTTAATCGAACATTCTGGGTCCATTCAACTTAACTGGATGAAAATTATAGCGACCTCATTCCGAATGCTGATTAAGGGGTAAATAACTTGGATGAATGAACTGTTATAGTTTATTATTCAGATATATCCAGATTAAATTATCCAGATATTTACTCATAATTATCCAAAATTATCCAGTTTATCTGTTCCAAATTTGGATATTTAATGATATATCCAGATTAAAGCACCAAACACATGAGGTACATGGCTGGTGCCAGCTTACTTCAATGCTCAGCCAACCAGGATGGGTTGAAGCCACCTCCCAGTGAGTGAGAAACATGTAGTATAGCCAAAGTTTTGAACTTTGCTTGATGTTGAAAAAAGTCAAACCCTCTGAAGGTTTTTGAATATAGATTGAGTGGTCGGATTGGTGGGTTGTAATGTAACCGTTATGATCTCCATGTGTGTTGTCTATGTCGGCAGCTTGGGATTCGTTGGTTTCAAGAGTTCACCCGACCTCTCCCATGGCTCAAGTTGCTTGACCTGCGAGGTCCATCAGACAAGACAAATAGCCTGAGAACAAAGAAAAATCATGCAAACCGCCCCCGTGAAATAGGATGAACTCATTTGTTTGTGTGTCCCATCTTAGTCTTCAGCGGAGACCAGGATGATGTCAGTTTTCTTTCGACCAGTCTCAACGGTTTCTTGTAGATGTATTCCCTCCCAACAACAGGGTGATGACATGCATTCAAACTTAAAATCGCAGCCAAAACTGATGGTTTCAGCTCAAGAAAATGTCCAATTCTAGCTCCTTTGGGACGCTACGCATCGCCACGCTGTTTGACTCTCGGGCTGCCCAGCTTGGCTTCGCCATGAACAAGCGGAAGTTTGAAGAGCCAAAAACCTCGTCGGTGGAAAGTCATTTGGTGTCATGCAGCCCATTTCAGCCTCAGTATGAGCCGGAAGATGCTTGGATGACTGGAGATAAGTGGGAAAAATAGCTTGATATTTCCCTTTGTTTGTCGAAGGGTAGTAGAACTATTCATGAAATTAATCGAAATTCTGTTTTCAGGGCACTCACTATATAAAACATTGGCTTTTGTCTCACTTCTGCATATGTTGGAATTGTGTGCGGTGCCCACTTCTTTCAAAACATCATCATGTCTGCAAAGGTAGCCAAACGTGCTTCCCCGTGACAACCCTACTGATGCAAAACCCACAATATCAAAGGATGTTAAAGATCTGCACACTCCCAGCCAAACTCATTCATCTGGCTACTGAAAAAACACTATGGGACACAGTGGGAGAAGAACAAGGAACACAGGCCATGCACCTGCCAGGGCAAAAGCAGCGCCGTACAACCGATGCTGCAACCATGCAGGAAAAGGAGACCCTCGTAGCCCAGGCCAAAAAATGCATTCCAACTCCCACAACCAGATGAAGGAAAAAACTGGGGCAAAGCCGGGCAAAAAGCCAACCCCGGGGCCTACCCGCGGAGGTTCAAGAGGTTCAAAAACGCTCCTTGGGCGGCGAAGGCTCCGTGAGCCCCGCTGAGCGCAAGCTGCTTCTGATTTCCAACCTTTCCATAATCATGGATAAATGGTGATTGAATGGGTTTTAATGGTGATTTAATGGTGATTTAATGGGATTTAATGGGATTTAATGGGATATACCCTCCACCATCGGATGATTTACTGTGAAAATGTTGTGTTTCTCTTGTGGATCAGTGCTGGTGCTTCAAAGGAAAAGATCCGCACCGTGGTCGTGGAGAACTTTCCGATGCTGGGCAAGGCTGCTGCATGGCGCTTCCTGGAATGGGTGCAAGAGAATCCCAAAGGCAGCAGTTGTCGAAGCCGGGTTGGCCGGGTTGCATGAAAGATGAGACCTAGAGCTTGATGGGGATGTAGAATGATGTAGATGGGATTTAGGCCATATAGGCAATTTAATACATGCAAAAAATGGTGATATTTGTGATCTTGGCATGGCTACAATATATATATACTATATATACACTTGATGGTTCATCCCAGGAATCGTAAGTGGGTTATAACCCTACTTATCAGTGAAGTACGGTCTAATATCTGGGGTTAAGCCATGCAGTTACTGGGTGGGGTGACTAAGAATCCGGCATCCAGGACCCCTGAAAGGCAGGACTTGGGATTGGGGCCCCTGAAAGGCCATTGCTTTTGATGTGCCAAGATTGATCCCTCTACTTGTGGAACATGTTTTTGTTCATTTAGATTCCTGTATTACTGCATGGTCCCTTTTTCTGCGGAGGCTCAAGACATCAAGCTTGGTAATTTGTGCCAAAACAGGATGTTCAATGAACAGGAGATGCTGTAGGCCTGTAGGCTGTTCCTTGAGCAAAATTGCCACCAGGTGTATGCTCACTGCCCACTGGCAAGACTCCGGAGTATTTCATCAAGCCGCGCGGCCCAACTGTTGGGACAGCCCACCAACAATCGCAAACATGGGATCATGAACATGAATAGATCTAGAAGGAGCGCAGCAACTTTGACGTGTTTCATTGTGTTTCCAACGTGTCTAATCCCATGTGTCAGGGAAAAGTGCTTTGCATGTTTGCAATGAGGTATTTTTTTGGTCCTTAGAAGGGTGTTTTTTCCGCACCAGATGGGGATGCTGTACAGGTTTTATCCTGAAGAGCAGGATTTCTTCAACCCACTCGGGAGGGTTCAAACGTGAGAACATCTCATCTAAGTAGGGAAACCCAAGCGCAACCAGCACTGCTTAGCTTTCTTTCAGGGCAATCTATGACACCATAAGTGGATTGTACACAGGGCTAACAAGTCCTGCAGGGTTCGCTCAGTAGCAGCTAGATTAGATTGCGTGATAAGGGTTATTGCCGAGTCTGATTGATTGGTGGTTTTTGTTATTATACATGTAGAAACTTGTAGAAACATGTTGCATTCTACTTGGAATGATGCTTCCATGTCCATCACTTGGGGTAATACTTAGTAACTGGGAGGTGTGTACCTTGGCAGCTCGTTGTCCTGTTCGTGCCGAGGTGGGTCCAACGGATTTTGCAAGGATGGCAGACCCCAGAGATCAAGGAGGAAGCCAAGAAATTTGGATTGGCAGATGCAAAACCAGAGTTGGATCAACTGACATTTGTACAGATCCTGGGCAATCGTTGGACTGGTGGGGTGGCTTCAAACAGTTGCTTATGTGGATTTATCTGGGTCAAGTTGGTTAGATACTTTATTAGTATACTTTGTTTTGGTTGCAATCAGTGGTAAAAAACAGCTAAAAAGATCTAAAAAGTATATGTTTGGGCAGGTATATATCTAAGTTTCAGCATGTTATGTTCCTTCCCTTTTGGATTGCTGAAGCTTAATCCACCCAGCAGAGTCCTCCTGCATGTTTTTGCGATTGCAGTCTTCAACACGACTCTGTTGCAGCAGTTTGCTAAAACATGTCGAGTTCCCATATATTTTTATTGTTTAAATGTAAAAACCATATAAATTGACGGCTAAGTTTGTCAATTTATGTATGTATATATATACATATCTATATACATATATATATATATGCATATATATATACACAGATCTGTCAAAGCTAAAGGGACACATTGATGGCTAATCAGATTCCCTTCATGATAGCTGTGTGGCCTTGATTCCCGTTCTCTTCCTTTGTTCCGAAGCATCGGATCGCTCGTAAGGATCGATGAGTTTTATCCCATCTCTCCGCAACAGCACAATAGTTTCCACTACTACGTGTCTTGGTTCCGATGCTTGCGAAGTTGCCAAAACTGCCAAAACATGAGTTTGACATGTTTGAGGAAATATCTGTTCAGGAAGAATCTGGAAGCCAGATGAAACCAAACACTACATATTTCAGCTACAACCCTATACATGATGTGTATTTTTGGAGGAAATCAAATCGTTGTTGATGTGCAGAATCACGAGTTGTGTGGCAGGTTGCAGCCGCTTGATTCAATCGCATTCACGTGGTGTCCAAAATCATGTGGTATACCCCAGATTTTGCCATCGAATTGGGCAACCAAGATGATAATAAGTTGGCATTAAGGGTATATCCCGTTATATCCCATCAGTATTCCATTATAGTCCGGCAATATCCCCATTAAACCACCATTTTTGTTGACGGGGCATCCACTCCACTGCTCCAGGTCAGTGAGTACTACATCAAGGGCTTCGGACTTGATCCGTCGAAAGTACCTTTGTTGCAGCCGTCGCCAAAATGGGGGCCCCTCAAGTTGTATTAATCCCATAGGATCCATGTATGGTATATATGCTAACATAGAAGGGGTATATTGATGGGATCCATGTTACCATATATAGCAACACCATGGATCCTATGGGAATGTTGGATTATAAAGCCTATGAAGTCTAGATATTTTCTACCACAAGCATCCATTAAGTCTAGATATATTTACCATTAGCCATAGTTTAAGCTATGGAATGTGTTTACTTCAGATCAGTGATGTTCTCGGAACATGCAGTGCCAGTACCTTGAACTGCCTGGAACTGGTCCTGTATCCGCGAAAATCAGCTGGATCTATCCGCGCTAGAAGACGGCATGAAAATTGGGCGGTTTGGCTCAAGAAAGACATATAAACGAATGCTTTTAAAATATTACATATCCCAATCAGAGCTGATGATATACTCTTTTTAATATCCGAATGTGGAGTTGTATTTCAAAAACATAGATATATCATCAGCTCTTTGTTGTGTGTCCACAACTCTGGGTAAATTATAACGACCTCACTGCGACCTCACTGGAATCATGGCCCATAAGGGGAATCATCCCCAAATGGCCTTAATTCAGGTACCTGTTCGCCCTTGGCGTCAGCGGGGGGTGGGCAGGGACCGCAAGAAGTTGGTGGCCTTAATTCAGGTTAGTGAACTATTATAATTTACCCAGACAACTGGAGTTATGGAAATGGTGGGTATCACCATTGCCCACTTTTAGCTCTTGAATTTTCATGGAAATCCATCACCCAATGCACTCAGTTTCTCCGGGCTCGAACCTGGACCCAGGAAGCGTTCTGAGGACGTACCACACATATGGACGTAACCTGTGTGGGGAACCCCTGTTGCCAAGGTTTGATCTTTACATCCTATAATATATATATATATATATACCATATGGTTATTGAACATAGCCATGGAAAATCCCCATTTTAATAGGTACATCATCTATAAATGGTTCATTTTCCATAGCTATGTTAAACGACCAGAGGGTAGGTGTTTTGTCGCTTTAGCCCACATAGTTCTTTTTGGTGACTTCGAACTCCCATTGAGCTGCTGAGCTTTTCCGTTCAAGGCGCTGCTGATGGACTGTTCCAAGATTGGTTTGGATCTCACTGCTCCGCCCTTTGGCTGTGGTGACCACGGGATGTCAAGGGACATGCTGATTTAACCACTATAAATGGTGATTTAATGGTTAACAATGGTGAATGATAATAGGATGATAATGGGATTTACCCTCCAGCAATTCAACATAGCCATGGAAAATTGCCCACTTCTAGAGGATTTTTTCAGATCAAAAATGGTTCTTTTAAGATAACTATGTTAACTTGGGTAGCTTGCAGAAGCGATACGGCAGTTTGCGATGTCTGGCTGGACAGTATAGAAAGGTACTGTAGATATGTTTCACATGAAGGACCTGGGCTTTCAAGGGGCGAGTGGACCACCAATTTCCAGCAGAATCGTTGTCCGAAATCATGATTTTCATGGGTGTAACCTCAAGGTTCTCGAAGTTCCCCAGTGGTTTTAACCATGGCTATACCCCATTTGTTTCACCTCCCAGTCGGAAACAACGAGAGCCGCCTTGAGGTCTTTCGGTCCCACAGGGGAGCCACAGGACCATCATCAGATGAGCACCTTGGGAACGAAGCCAGGGGTGAATGGTGGATTTAGTGGATTTAATGGGATTTCATAAGGGATTTAATGGTGATTTAATGGGATTTGATGGGACTTTTGAAGGTTTCCATAGTCACGGGGGTGCCCTTATAGCTGCATGGTTTATTTCATGGGAAATCCATCTATCAATGGATGGGAACTGGGGCGCCCCTATTTGAGGAAACCTCCAAATTACCAAATGGTATATCCAAACACCAGGAGAATCAGAGGGTATATCCAAATATCATAAAAAGGGAGTATGGTGTTGTGGGGTTAAACACATGTTACCCTCTGGTAAACTAACATAGCTATTGAAAATGGCCATTTATAGTGGATTTTCCCATTAAAAATGGTGATTTTCCATAGCTATGTTAAATTACCAGAGGGTAAGGTTGGACAACCAACTTAGTTCAACTCCAAATCTATGGCACGGTGCTGTAGATGGTGAGTTAACCAACAAAACGGGTTGTATACTCTGGTACATACCGAGATCACCCCAAAGGTGACCGCACAAACCCGATTTTTTTTTGAGGGCTTATGACCCAGGTTACACCTGGGTTTAGAAGTTCATGAGGCAACAAATATTCGGTAAGCCAAGCAGTCCACCATTTACTTTATTAACAAAAATGCTTATCATATGAACAGCTGACCATTTGAAATATGTATAATCAATTCAAATATAATAAAACATTGTTCAATATATTTTAGGTCATGAGTCACACATAGTTCATGAGTCGTGTTATGTTGTGTTATGTCATGTTTTGTTTGTGCTGGAGCCTGCTTACTAACCAGCTAAGAACCAGCCAAAAACGGGAACCAGGCCAAGAGATAATGTGGATAGTCACCAGCGAACATGTGATTTTGTGTTTCAAAACAAGTGTATTTGAACCCAAACATATGACCGTTTTTGAATCCCCAAAAGTGCAAACGCATTTTCTAGCATTTAATCATTTAATCATGTCATCTATCTCAGCACAATCTAGGGTTTAAACCAACAAAATCAAACCATGTTGATTGTTTTCCTTGTTCTCCCCAAAACGATCCGAACAGATGGGGCATCCCATGAATATGTAGATTTATGGTCCCATTAATATCCCATAATCCCATGTGTATCCCAGAAGTTCTTCCCAGATGCGAGGCATGGAGGACGTCTGGCCCGACGGCCACGTGGATCTCACGTTGCGCACGCGCGACCCGCAGACGCGGTTGGAGCGCTTGCAGCAACGGGTGCTCCGGCAGGTGCCGTCACCTGCGGCAGGGAATTTATCTGGGTTTGTCTGAAAATGTTGGGTATATTCCCAATGAAATAGCCATTTAATAGGGATAATGATCAGCAAAACCATTGGCTTTAGGGGTACACTATTTTCAGACAAACCCATCTGGTTGGTGGTTTGGAACATGTTTTATTTTTCCATATGGCAGTGTGTCAAAACCAATAGTACCCTTTTGTTCACATCAAAATAGCTGGGATTTATGGATGTTCATTCCCCTATATTAATAGGTATTGATCCATACCCATATATATGGGAATAATAATTCCAACTGACTCATCTTTTTCAGAGGGGTTGAAGCCACCAACCAGTAGCTATTGAAAATTGCCCTTTAGAGTTGATTGACCTATTAAAACTGGTGATTTTCCATAGCTATGTTAATGTACCAGAGGGTATATATACGGATCTGTATGGACTTTTGGTGATGTTTGATCTATATGGACTTATATGGATGTATTGTATGGATTTATACGGATTGGTATAAGAGTTTAGCCAAAAAACATGGAGATTTAAAGGAATATGAATGGGATATGCCATGGAATACACGACCAACTACAGTCACCAGTTGGGCTCTATCTCCATATTGGGGGATGGTCATCAATCCATTTACACAAGGATTCTTATAACCATTATGGGGATTCCCACTATGAGATGGATGACCATAAACCAGATACCGTGGTTTGACCACTTTCATCATGGATCAACACACTACCCTCTGGTAAACTAACATAACAATGGAAAATCATCATCTTTAATAGGTAAATCAGCTAGAAATGGGCCATTTTCAATAGCTACGTTAAATTACCAGACGGTACTGCTAAAACTGAACTCCCCAAGATGTGGTGAAAACTGCTGCAGACGGCGAGGTGGATCAATGGTGTGCAGACTATGAAGGAAAGATCAGGGCCCTGGGTGGCATCGGTTTCTTCATGGGTTGCTCGGCAGCTCTTAGGTGAGGCCTGGTTCTCAGTTCCCACTGGGGATGATATCATCATGTCTTCCAGAACATTTTGGAGACTGGAATCTGAACTTGGTGAATATGTGTAATGTTCATTAGATTGTCCATATTCAAACATATGTCAGATGATTCTTGCTGATCTCTAACGATGCGTGTTGCAACCACCGGCCAGCTCAAATTTTGACTGACAAGATGTAAGTCCGTGTCAGTCTGAGAATAATTGCACAAGGGAAGATCGCAAGAAATCTTTACATTTCACGTGGAAAAATGTGGTCTTGTCAAAAGCATCCCATAAACATCTCAAACCCAGTCAGTGAGTCACCAACTGACCATGGCAGCGAACAAAATCATCCGTGTCATCAGGTGGCATCGGACCTGATGGACATGTGGCCTTCAATTGCCAAGGTGCCCCCCGAAATTGAGAAAAGTTCCTGGGGGTTGCCAAAAACGAGGGGCAAAAGTTCAGTTTGTTCGTTCACTTTACCCTTCCAGGAGGTTTTATCAAACATGGAGGTTGATTAAGCTGGGATTTTCCATCATCATGTTTGATTGATTACCGGAGGATAGAGTATATAATTTTATGGCCATAACATTTAGACAACCATGAGATTATATATGTGGTATTTTTCAGACATACCCACCAACAGATGAGAAAGGAGATGCAAATTTAAGAGTAATTCGCGGTTGCCAGCAGATTCCAAGTGTCTAATGATGTTTCATCCATTGATAGATGAAATGTCCATTGAACAATTGGGCGTTGACATTGCCACGCTCAATTATTTCAATATACCGAAGAGTGAAGAGTGATGTACCTTTTCTTACTGCGGGATGGTTCTTGTGCATTTTTTTGGGTTGCTACTGCTACAAGGTGGTGCCCCCAAGATAGCGTTCAGTTGGTTTATAACTCCAATAACTATGGTTTATAGGTGATATATCTATAGTCTATAGTTTTCATGGGGGTTATAAACCAATAATCTTAACGTTTGGGGGGCACCACTTTGTAATGTACAGTATAGTTTGTTATTGCATTGCTTGGCTTTGGGATGCTCGTTTCCCCAAGTTTCCTTGAACACTGACTGCTGAAAGAATTAGTGAAAGATAGTTTCGGGGTCCCAGTCTTACTAAAATACGAGTGTTCAACTTTGGGGTGTATCCCTCTTAGTGACTGCTTAATAACCTTGATTACATGGCATTATCCATTTGATACATGGACTACATGGACATATCCTATATAGCGAAGCCAAAATTGAGATAGAACTGTCAAAAAAAAACCTGGAAACATTGTTTTTGGCAACCATTTTTCATGATATCCCATGAAATATCCGCTTTTTAATACATCATCTAGTTCGAGAATGTTCCCATTTAAACCACAAAATCCAAGTAAATTGGTATAATTACCTGGTTTAATGGGAAAATCATAGGACTCATTTTTGATGTTTAAATCTATTGTCCCATTTAACCCATGCACCCATCATTTTTTCCAAGGTATCGTCCCGTTCGCAGGATGCGACCACTTCTCGACGACCCGCATGGATCAGCTGAACTACGCGTCACAAGCTGCGGCGGCAGGGGATCTGGGGGGCATTGAAGCCGTGCGAAAGCGGAGACTTGGATGAAACAGACCGTGGTCAGCGGAGGAATGCCAGGTGGGTGGGTCTCAAAATGGAGAATTGACTGAAAAATGGGTTATGTTCCAAATTTCGATTTGTGGCACTGATAGATTTACAGGTATGGTTAACCACTGGATTTACAAGTTGCGCTTACATCTACCTGAAGAACCAAAAGCGGTGCAACCTGCTGGTTTCACTCCTCCAGATCAGGAAAAAACTTCCACCCAGAAAGATGTTCAGACTATATAAACATAAGAACAAACCAGTTTTCTACTCCCAGGCAGATGTTCAGATACTTTCAGCTTGGAAGAAACAACACATTACTAAGCCAAGCAAAGTTATTGCGCTTCACTCATCAACATGATTGATTTACCAAAAAACAGCGCTGGGTTTGTTTGAACATTGGGGTACCCCTAAAACCATTGGTTAATCACCATTTGTCCCTACAGGACGGTGCCCCTCAGTTATAAGTTGGTTTATAAATTTTATAAACCCTCATTAACTATAGTTATATCTACCATAAACCATAGAATTCAGCCATTTTTTAGGCGTTTCTGAACGCTATCCGACCTACTTCCCCACTCTGTATGGAAGTTCGCCATGGAAGTTGGAAAACACGACACGCCAGGAAAGTGATCACCATCGGCTTGGGCACCGTGACCTTCAACCCGGACACTGGGATGAACGCGCGAGCCCTGTTGGTTGATGATGAGTTGGGGGATGATACTACCCTCTGGCAAACTAACATAGCTGTAGAAAATACCCCATTTATAGTGGATTTTCCCATTAAAAATGGTGATTTTCCATAGTTATGTTAAATTACCAGAGGGTACCCTTTCTTCTTATCTTGGGGATGACAATAATTAATCCAATAAAGGAATCCCGCTCTTAACCAACCAGGATTAAATGGAGGTTTCCTAAGTCATGTACCCCCAAATCGTCTATTTATAGCTAGGTTTTTCCATGAAATAACAATCTTTTTTTTGGGGTACCCCCATTTCAGGAAACCACCATATGTATTTATTAATACCTTGTATTAACCCATATTATATTAACATTTTTTGTAGAAAAACAATATATGTGGGACTGTTGGGTCTTGACTCAATTTAGGATGTTGGAGTGGCCACGTGTTTAGCCAACCCATTGACCAATTTGTTTCGCCATGTTGGGCTCCCAATTTTGTAGCTGAACAGTAGTTTCAGCCTGTTGTTTTTTTTTGGGCGGACTTAATCCTAAATGTGTAGCTCCATGTAGCTCCAGTCCAAGCAGAAATCCAACGTTAAGTGCAATGTCTCGCAGGTTTAGCTCTCAATAGATCCATTTGAAAATCATCAGATCCGCATCATCCTGAACTTGATTTCCAATCTTCATTGAACGGCTTCCATTTTTTGCATTTTCAGTGTATTCAAGTCCGCAAGCAAAAAAAGAGAAGTAAACTTTAATTCATAAATCAAGCAAAAAACATCAGATACCCTCTGGTAATGACAACGAGTTTTCTATCCAAAATCACCATTTGCAGAACGGCAAATTATCGAAATAAATGGGCCATCCATGCAATGTGGGGCCCCCGAGTCATAAGTTGGTTTACAAACCCCATTAACTATAGTTATAAGTATCATAAACCGTAGTTATTGGAGTTATGTGGCCCCCAACTTAGCCTAGCGATCGTAAACGGGAGCCCCACAATTGTAGCATAGCAACCCTCTGGTTTTTTAACATAGCAATGGAAAACGGCCCATCTATAGAATAGATGATAAACATTATGATTTACCTATTAAAGATGGTGATTTTCCAGTTCGCTATGTTAAATAACCAGAGGCTAGTCCCAATATTCACATTATTATCCCAATATTAATCCATATGGTTCATAATCCCATGATTGTCCCAGTATTATCCCATTATGTACCAGAGGGTATATGAAAAATCGCCAACCTGCCACGTTCCAGGACTGTGTCGCCTTGATTTGTGCTGCTGGCGAAGCCAAAGCACAGGTGGTGCAACGAGCCGTCGAGGACTCATCGGCTGGCCGGCGCCGGATGGGAAGATCCGGGGCAAAGGTTTGGGAGTTTATGTGAGTTCTATGGAAATTAAATGGGAAATCTATAGAAAATCTATGGAACATCTATTTCTATGGAAATTAAATGGGAAATCCTATATAAATCATAGTACTTGTATGGGTCTATGGAAACATTGCAGGAATTGTATGGGAATTTTGTGGGAGTTGTAATGGAATATATTGGATTTCACCGGTGTATTCCGTTTTCATCTGTATTTTTGGGGTTATAAGGATCTTTTCTTTTTGTGTTTTACTGGGACATGTGTTCATGGAAGGTGATAGTATGTTATGGTTTGTCACGTGGTAAAGCCATTAACCAAGGGGGATTTACAAGCAATCAATATGGGTATAACCAACAGCAACCCCACATTACAACGTGGAGTTTTCATATGGATTGTTTGATTTGAATCATGTGAAACGCTGTTTTTTGTAATGGAAAATGTTGAGGTAAAACCAAGCTCCTCTGGGTCTCAAGAATGGATGGTCCCTAAAACAATCGTTGATTGGCATTGTCTCCTTCAATTTGTAGTGATAAGGTTCCAATGCATTTCTTAAACTGGCCGCAGAATGTTTTGTTCATTCCCTATTTTCTTTGATTCCAATGAATTTCTGGTTGGTGGTTTGGAACATTTTTTATATTCCATAATATATGGGATAATCCTTCCCATTGACTTTCATATTTTTCAGAGGGGTTGAAACCACCAACCAGTAGCTATTGAAAATTGCCATTTAGAGTTGATTGACCTATAAAAACTGGTGATTTTCCATAGCCAATACATTTCCAGTCCATGTTTCGGCTTCAGTATATTTTCCAGTTGCTACTTTTAGCCCGTATCCTTGGATTGAGTTGAGTTTATGATCGTGTACTTTTTTCAGAGGGTTAACCATACTTGGTCATTAATGTTACGTTCTATAATATATATATATATGGTAATCCAAAGAAGACTGAAAAGGTTCAAATTACCACTAGTTTAGTAAGATGTTCTTTTTTTGGTGCTATAAATTGAAAGGGAGTGAGTTGAAAACATGGTGAGCTGATCCTCTGGCCGGAAAGGATCATATATCAATCATGTTGCTGTGTCGCAACGTCACCGGAATGATGCTTTCACAGTTTATATAAGGCGAATCACCCCCTTTGCTCTTGGTGATCTTTTGTAACAGCCAGATATGTTCGTTAATGTCGCAGGTATTCACCAAAAAAATGGGTTGGTAAGTGAATATTGTATATATACATTTCTATTATAGCCCTTTGCCATCCAAAGAATTCCTGGTTGGTTTAATACAGTAACAATCAATTAACGTAGGTGGTATAACCCAGCACAATAATCAACCAACAAGGGTAGTTTCAATCGCTCATTTGTTTCCCTCACCTCTTCAATGGTTTAAACTGCTTGCATGGGTGCTTGGAAGTCAGCCTGCCACATGTGTGTTCTCTTCACCATCCTTCAACTTCCGATTTTCTCCCTCTACTGGGGCTGCAATTCCAGTTATCACTGGATATATGACACTATATAACCATAGTTGTAGGAGTTATTTCCATTTCTTTCCCAACTTTTGAAGCTTATCACCATGGTTATATACCCGTAAAAACTCCAAACACACCCCCGAGTAGGTTTTACGCCTCGCAAATCGTGGACTGAATCCCTCCGTATTTTTGCGCACTAGGAAGCCCCGCATGTCAACTTTCCCGCCACCGCCTTGCACAAGTTGCCACGTGCGACTTGGTGATGGATCCCACTATTTTGGGGGATATTACATGATATTACTACACATACCCTAAATGTATGTTGATTGGGTCTACCAAATAAAGCAACTATAGCTTCAGATGTTTTGTTGATGGGCTTCTGCGGCAAAGCTGGGTAGCTGAACAGCTAGGCCTAGCCTTGCCATATATTCTACACCAGTCATATGGATCCAAACCAAGGACCCTTAAATAGATAAGGTCACAACTAGACATCTCGTATTTTCTGTTCAGTTATGGGATGTTCATTGAGGAAAACAACGTCAACAGGACATGTTTTTTTTTTTGCGTGGTACCTGACATTTGAGGTAAGACAATGACATCTCAAACACGTGTGTATCTTTATCAGTATCAATATGTATCAATATTAAAATCTATCCATGCAGTTTGCCAGCTCCAGAATCATGTCGATGATTTTCCGTAAAATGTCGATAAATGTCGTCTCCAGGATGACGGATACAGCTAAAATATGGTTAATAAGTCAGTCTATAATCTCTCTATCAACCCTTCTAGTTTGATATATCCTGAATATTATAGGAGATATAACCAACCATTCCATCATGAATTAGCTGTGAAACCACATTCTTCTTGGTTACATCCCTATGTAGATTAACCCTATCAGTTGGGCACCGCATTGTACCCCCAGAACCGCCTTCTCTCCACATCCCAACTTCTGGGACTTCCGCAATCATCATGGTCCCTTTAAAAACTCCAGCTTGAGATGGTTTGGTATCCTATTGGTTTCCAGAATATGATCCCAAAGTTAGAGATGGTAAAATATGTTTTGCATAGTTACCCAATCATTCTCCCAATCATTCTCCCATAGTTTCCCATCTCAGCAGCTGCACCAAGTCCCCACCGCCGTAGCAACCGCCGTAGCCACCGCCGGCGCGTACCGCGAGGCCACGTTCTTCCTGACTGCCGGCGCTGCGAAGCTGCTGAGCCGCCGGCAGCTGGCCATCCTGGCCACGCGCGAAAAGGTGGATGACGAGTTGGTGGAGCGCGCGCTGGTGACATGGCAGGGAAGGTGGGGGTTTTAAGCAATGCTATAATTATTTGATGTTTGTAAATATTATTGGAAGATGTGGTTATCATTGTATTTATGTTTGCTATTAATAATTATATATTTTTTATTTTTATAACTATATGTATATACTATATATATGGATATATATATATATATAACATTGCCATTGTTCATTTAGATACTGGAATGTATTTAAAGATAGAGAGACAGGTTCATTTAGTATCCAGATCGGGGTATCCAAAGATCGTGTCCGAGAAAATATTGACCAACTTACCCTCATCTTGTGGGCTCCACATAAAGTGGGTGACTGGTAGACAAAAGATGGTAGCAATGCATGGCTTAGCGTTTTGCAAAACATAGGGGTTTCGGTTTCGGTTGGTTTGTTTTGTTGATTCAACAAAATTGTGTATCATGTTGAAGGTGATCTCTGTAAGAATTTTGGTCATGTTGGTGTTTATGCCATACAGACTGAGGGTTTTATGATCGTACCTCCTACCTACCCTCTGGTAAACTAGCATAGCTATCGAAATCACCATCTTTAATACGTAAACCAACTATAAATGGGCCAGCTATTCAATAGCTATGTAACAAATTACCAGAGGATAAGTACCGCAATGTCCGGTGGTTGCACAAAACATCTTGACCCTTTAAGTCGCCGAGGTTTCCTTGTGCTGCAAGCGACGTAAGAGGCCAGGTTTGATGGTAAAAAAGCATGGGGGTATCGCAAAGAAATAAGAGATAAATGTTGCATCAATTATCATCAATTTCTGTATCCATTAGAACTATGGTGCTACCTCCATAATTGATAGAAGAATACCTCCATGAGAAATGATGACTGATGATAACTGATAGATAGCTCATGGATAGTTTGTAAACCCCGAAACAGAGAAATGTTGATCCAATCATTACTGCGACGAATGGATGTCAAAATGTAGCGCGATCGGACTGGCCCACCTCACCATGAAGGTTCGTAAGGGGTACAACACCGCTAGTCGTTGATGCCTTGAATGGTTTGAAGGAAGCTGTATGGCTGTAGTCACCTGTTCCAAGATTCCAAAAGAAGTGTTGCCATTATTTGCAATGCGAAAAGCACGTTGTAAGCAATTTTGTTTGAGTTCCATGCTAGTGCAAACACATGCAAATAGGTCACCTTGATTAGTTGGAAGATTCTCCGCTGTCGAACTTCGATCTATGGATGGTAAACCCAGAAGCTCTGCGTTTATCATAGGTGTTGAAGAAATTCCCATAATAAATATATATGTATATATATACACACATGCTGGTGATAGACCAGTTGCAGCTGTTTAAATGATGTAAGAGCAACGTACGACCAACACCATAAGAGGATGTCTTCATCAATCCATGCGAGTCAAGATTGAAAACAATATCAACCTATGTGTGGGTTTTGAGAATGGGGGTAACCCCAAATCGTCCAAAATTATATCATTTGAGTATTGAAACCTATGTTTTTTTGGGGAACCACCAATTTAGGAAACCTCCATGTGTGTGTGTGTGTACATAATATATATATATATATACCAACGACATCCCAAGGCCACCATGGTCTGAATACATTCCTGAGATCAATTCAAAGCGTTCAACGCTGTGGAACAGGGTTTCCAGACTCAGAGATGTTGCAACCAACTAAAAAAAAGTGTTCCAAGAAAAAGAATGCTACATAGAATGACGAACATATACGAACATATTCATATGGAGGTTTCCTAAAATGGGCGTACCCCCAGTTCTCATCCATGTAAATAATTTTGATTAGGTTTTTCCATGAAATAAACCATCCAGCGAGGGGTATCCCCATGACTATGGAAAGTCCCAAAAGTCCCATGAAATCCCTTATGAAATCCACTAAATCCACCATGACATTTTGGTTCAAAAGCTATGAAGCCAGGCTGCTGGACCTCACAGAGGAAGATCTCCAGAGCTGTCCCTTTGCCCAGGAGGTACTGCGGAGCTTTGGCGCGAAGCCATGGCCATGGCCGGAAAAATCCGAAAAATGGAGGGAAACTCGAAAAATGGAGGTTTTAATAGGGAAAGTCCGCTAGAAATGGAGGTTTTAAGAGGGAAAATCGTCGAACTAAATGGTGATTTTCATGTGCCATGTTTGATTAGTGGAGGGTAAGCCATGTGGAAACTTTGCAGAATGGTAATGGGTTGAACTTGGCTTCAATATGGGCATACCTGGAACTTCCATGTAGTACTTATTTTAGTCGTTGCCCAATTTCGAAGGATTTTAAGTCGTTCTTGCCCAAAAACATCGTTCTTGTCAAGAATCGCCGTTACTGAGATATCTCATCTGAAAAACGCCGTTGCTGAAATTCCCTTGCATCGAAAGAACTTGCCTGACTTCACTCTTGGAATCTTTTATGGGTTATGGTATGAAACTGATTTACCAAGTCCCAATCACGACCCAATAAGGGTTCAATCCATCCAGCTCAAAGCAAACCCCTTTCCACGCCATGGCCTTCCAAGCCCAGCTGCTGTCTCCGACGGAGGGTATAAGTGGCACAAGGGTGGGGGCAAGGGTTCATCACAAATGCTTTGCGGGGCCAGTAACTTTGCTACTCAGAACAAGCAAATGGTCAAAAGTTTGCCCCCACATTTCCCTGAACCAATTAGCATTTCTTTGGCTAATCGTTTTTGTTTTCAGCAACTGACTTTCTAAAACGGCTGTGAACAGCTTTGGCTTTGAAAAGGTACAGCTGCAGGGTTCGTTTGGTATTCAGCCTGGAGTCCGCACGACGGCTCAGCGAGGCAAGCTTTCCTACCACATCCTCATTCATCTCACTCGAAAAAAGCAGGGGTGATGGGACCCATTGAATGTCAGTCTGGTCCAACAGGTTTGCCAAATCAAGCTTGGCATGAGCAATCATGTGAAATTTAGATTTCATCCCGTATCCAGTGAAATGCCACTTGGTGAGGCAAATGAAGGCTAACCAGTTGTAATGCTGCAGGAACTCGTGAAATTCTTGATAGACGACCATTCCGCAATGCCTGTGTAGCCAACAACCATGAGAGTACAAAATGTTTTGCCAAGTTTTCACACACATGGCACCCAAATAGATGCGTCTCAGAGTTGGAACATGCTCAGGGTCCAATGGGTCGTTCAGCAATCCACCGACCCAAACGCAAAGCCATTTGATCAGCAATGTTACATCGCTGCCTTTTGCATTGATCCAGCCATAACATGTCGATTTCTTATAGTTCAGGAAAGTCGGAGTAAACGATCGCAGTCCGGCTTTGCTCTGTGTTGTTCTGCAAAATAAGTAGAAACTTCGGTGGGCACGTTCCAGGCACACATCGATTTTATTGCTGACGCCGGGCCTCCCATCTTTGAAATAGCCCAAAAAGATCAGGAGGAGAATGGACGAAGCAACAAAGTCACGAAGAAGACCAACCTTTGTGTTGTGGAACAAATCTCGTCTCAGGATTTTTTCTGGCGCTCCACCTGGAGGCTCAAAAGGGATATTGACAATGATTGGGGTTTGGTTCCATGGTCGGCTTTGATACAGCACATTGCCCCAAACAGGGTGATGACTTCCATCCTCCCATGGATACTGCGGCGTGCCCGCTTCGCACTCGTGGCACATCTGCAAGCCAGCTCCGCATTGTTTGTTGAAACAGCGATGCAAGTTTGCAATCTTTTCATACCATTTCAAGTCGCCCTTTAAGCCAGTCAAACCCAGGAACCAGGTTTTGTTGTGCACTGAGACTCCTTCTTCAAAAAGGTATCGGAAATCTTCGCAAATTTTTGTCAACACCACTTCCAAGGCATTGCCGAACTTGTAGAAATCATTTGGCAAAACAGACAGCACAAACTTTGTCAAGTAGGAATTGTTTTTGGTGTTGTGGGCTTGGTAGGCACTCAAAGGAACCGGTCTTGCATCACAAGCTACAGTCATGTTGCCCTCTGTAGTCTTGAATCGCTTTGCGCAGGAATCTCTCAGATAGCAGTCATTGCACTGGTCATTCCTCCGTTTGTGGCGGATGTTCTCAGCCGTACCAACGCCCAAGCAGGCTTCAAACATCATGACAACTGTGTTCCCTTTTTCTTCCCACGGCCTTCATCTCCATGAAAGCATGCTGGTATGGTGTTGGCAGGACGTCGAACTGGGTGGTTCTCCTGAAAAAGTCGGTGTGTTGGATGGCTGTGGCGATAGTTGTGCCAGAAGTCTTCCAGATGACGGGATCCTTCATTTTGGGCAATGATTCCACCCATCAGAAGCTCTGGAGCATGCATCAAAAGAAATCGTACAAAGCTCACCGGGCTGATGTAGGTAATTGTGACTTCTTCTTGGTTTTGGTCGATGAACTTGAACTCCGAAAGTGGGACCTTCCAAGTCAGACCCCACCTGGCCACAAACGAATGGGCAGACCTGGCAGCATTCTTCGGAGCCCTCTTCTCACCAAACTCGCCGAGTTCAGCCTTTGCCGCCTTCCCGAGAGACGACAGGGAAGTGGCTGGGACCTCGGGAGGGAGGACCAGTACCAAAATCTGTGCACATGGAGAGGGTGTGGAATAACAACAATACTTCGCCAAGAACCTAGAAGTCATTCAATTTTTACACTTGATGCTCACAATTGAGTTCCTAACTCCGTCACCCAATTGCTCTGCAAACTCATGAGCAAGTTCATGGTCACCAGTGTCTTTCCGACCTGGCATGGCGAGCAGATTGCTGCGGGCAAAACGCAGCAAAACAATTTCTCCAAGAAAGTTTGGACACACTGGCGATTCTTTGTTTCAAGCTCGAGCTTTCGCCATGGTCATCCAAACTCTCTAACATTGAATTGTTCACAAGACAATTGTCAGACAACGCGTGTTTAGCACGCATTGTCACTTAGAGCCTCTGGCCACCCATAAGACAAGAAAATGTTGGTTGAGATGGGAACCACTATGTCCAGGACATGTTGCGATTGCAAGGATCGAGAGGAGGCCATCAGCTCTGAACCCCCAAAAGTTCGTATGAAACACTGCGCACGCTGATCTGTTCAGCATGAAAAGCGTTAAGGTCATAGCACGGTGTCTTCAGCATTGGTCAGTCAGGGAAGCATGTCCTCAGCTTTTGCGCTGACGCTTCGACGACGGCGGAGGCGTCTGAGCTGGCACGACGTTCTTGCCTGGACGGGCCTTTGCTTTCACCTTGGGCTTAGTAGCGGCTTTCGGCCTGGCGCCCGCTTCTTTCGCAGGCTTCGGCACGAATGGCCTGGCAGGGTGTGGCCGGGGAGCTGTGCACACCAAAGCTTTCACGAGCGCAGGTTTTCTTTTGAAAAAGAAAGCGCCCAAACCTGGACCGGGATTCCAATGCCAAAGACTCCGTTGCCCTTGGCTAGGCATGTACATTGGATGAACTCAAAACATGGGCTTGACAAATTCTGAACATGCATGTTGGGCCCCGGGCATTTTCTGCGCTGACTCCAGCTTCTCTCGCAAGGAATTTTCCAGCCTATGGCCAGCTTCCCACCGCACAAAAAAATTACTCAGGGAGAAACATATTTCTGGTGACTGGTTGCGTCAAGAAACTTCCTGGTGTAGCCTGCGACCACCCCATGCGAATAGTCAACAGACATCTCCTTGTGCACTCCCTCCATCTCAGAAAGAGACGCTTGAATCGAATCCTTCAGCCTCAGGGGCAAGTGGGGAATGAGACTGAGTGGTGGGGGTATTGAAAAAGAGAGAGGAGAAAATGAATCATAATACATGTTATGTGTATAAAGTGTATAATATATATATAAATATGCACTAAAGAAGCATACCGTAGTCGCATCGATTAAGAAAGACAAACGGAGAGACAGACAGATAGACAGACAGACAGACAGACAGAGAGAAATACAATCAGGCCCACACCCATACAGGCAGACAGGCAAACCGACAGACAAGAGAGACAGACAGACAGAAAGGCAGCCAGATAGACACACAAGCAGACAAACAGACAGACAGACAGACAGACAGACAGACAGACAGAGATGGATAGTGAAATAAAAAGACAGAGGCAGAAAAGCAAGACACACATGCAGATTTAGATACATAGGAAAGAAGACGGAGCAAGAAATATCGACCGATAGGCAGATAGGCAAATGCATAGATGGTGGGATAAAAAACAAGAGATAGAAAATTATGGATGGATAGCTACATTAGAGGGATGGACGGATAGCTAGCTAGATAGATAGAAGGATAGATACAGAAACAACAAGAAGAGAGACACATAGTTGGGTCTACTGCAGAACATGTTGTAATGTATCAGCCAACTTGTAAATCAAATCGGTTAGACTGTAAGCAGGCTAGATGCTTGCGCTGGAGTTCTGAAAGGTTGGCAGCTGACTGGAACTTTTCAAAGATGTCCTGCATCTTCGTCATGCGCTTCGCCAGGGCAGTCCTGAAACAAAGCGCTCTAGCTGAGATTTTGCTTCAAAACACAGCACCTTAGAAAGATTGCTGTGGACTTTGTGAAAGGATGCATGCAGTCTAGAATCAAATACTTTTGCACCATGGTGCTGGGCAAAGCATCCGGGTCAATCTCAGGGAGACCAAGAGCCTTGCCTTTCCTCTTGACATCCTCCCTGGTCTCATCGGCCTCGATTTGGTCGAGGTCTTCATCAGCAAGGGCACCTGCAGGATGCCAGGTGCCAGAGAGCCACCTAAGGGCCCCTGTGATTGTGATTTGTGAAGGGGAAGGTGTGGAATGCCCCCCATTTAGGCCTGAGTCATCAGCATCGTCTTCATTTGGCAAGGTCAGTCCACCAAGGCCAGTCTCTTGCACTCGGAGCCGTTTCTTGACATCCAAGCGGGTCTCCTTCCTGCGAAGAAAGATCACAACTCAATACGAAAGAAAGGCTACAGTATACACACCGCCGCCGTTGGTTTAACTCAAGTGGAGATTGGAACACAAGGCCTGTGGCTTCCTCGCACCGCAATCTCCACATAATAGAGCCACAGATTCTCGTAGGTATCCT